AAAAAAAAAAATCAATTTTGCTCGATAAAGTCAATGGTCAACTCAGTTCGGCTCTTTTACAATCCTAGTTGTAACTCACATTATAAAATTTGGCAAACACAATTCTGATACTGAACATTATTTTATATAGATAGGTTTTATATTGTCTTTTAGGCATCTTTGCATGCATAGTACTTGCTAATACAATTGTGGCCTATCCAAAACCGAACCTAATTCATAAAAATTGAAGAATAGCTCGTAAACCTGCATAAACACAGCTCCTCGTTTGCAGTAAGAGAAAGAATGTCACTATACATACAGTCAAAGTACCATATCACTGCAACAGTACAAGACCAAACTACCCAACACAAAACATGCAGGGCTCGTCATTATCTGTGTTCATACATATTTCCGCTTACACATAAATTATATCGAACAAGGACGAAAGTTTTAAGCTGAAAACGTGTGTTTTGTAACATAGATAGATGCCTCGAACTCATTTGTCTCTCTTTGTACATTCACAAAATAGGTGTGCTGTTCGTTGTACAACACGCAGACCGAATAATGCCGTAATTTGAACATTCTCCCAGAATAATGAGCATCCTTCATGAAAATATAGACGTGGACACTGCCTTGTCGAAGAGTCATCATATGTACAGTTGACTTCAGCTATTAGCAACACACGTTTTATTATATACGCAAAACCTGTACAAGAGTTAGCAGATATATGTCCACATTCGTTATTTAACTCCCGGTAGCATTCGGTTCTCCCTTTGGGCTGTCTAAAGAATCTCCTGAATAAGTTCCATCCGGCTGACGGATAAATATATTCAGATTTCCGGACGGGATTGATTCCTGTTCATCCCGAAATAAATTTAGGCCATTTACTCGCGGAATATCCATTAGTTATATAGCATACAACAATTAATTGCTCATTAAACTTGAATTCATTATAACATATACCAGATCAATAGTCTCCTGTCCCTCTGATTGGATAAGGATAGGCCGGCAGCGCTTGTCTTCATTCATTAAACTTGAATTCTGAAAGTGAGAGATGAGAGCCATCTTTCCTTGGATTCTGGCATATGCCAAGGAAGCAACCTTTTCACTATTGAATTTTTCCCATTTTTTACCATTGAACGCCTAAAAAAATCGCAAAAACAATTCGAGAGTGAACAAGTCATTTTCCCAAGGCAAATTACTAATTACATTGCTTATGAGGATTATACAACACAAACAATTTAATAGTTTCCATTTTTTTACATCAAGCTCCAAACAATTTACCATCCAACAGCTTAAATAAGTTGAGCTGATATAAATTGATTACGAAAGAAACACAAACCTCATAGAAAGTGATGATGTGCGAAGGAGACACCATATTGATGAACGCATATCCGACGTTGCATTTATTCTGTAGAAAATACGTGAATTTAGTTTC